TATATATATATATATATATATATATATATATATATATATATATATATATATATATATATATATATATATATATATATATAATTATTATTATTTTTTTTTTATTTATTTATTTATTTTTTTTATAATCTTGAATTATAGTTTTTTTAGTATCCAGATTAAACATTATACTTATAGGAAAGGCAAGGCACGTTTATTTATATAGCACATTTCATACACAGTGACAATTCAAAGTGCTTTACATAAACAGGAATAAAAGAAACAAGTATAAAAAATAAAAACAAATAATAAAATTGATAAAAAAACAAGAACAGTTTTAAAGAAGAAAGTTATTAAAGAATGAAAAAGAAAAGAGAGAAGTGAACAGAAAATGGTGGCTCATCTTGAGTGCGTGTATTTATATATTTTTATAACTGCCAGGATTATGCAAACTGGGACATAATGAAGACTATTTTGATGTTTTGCCTGTATTGGCTGTTGGTCAAATATTACCACAATGATAATAAGTAATTATTAGTAGGCTAGTTATTGTGACATAAAGAGAATAGCTGGGAGAATTGCATCGGATAGACAGACAGACACACTGATTATGTTCTAGTATGTCTTACTGCCCTCTACCTCATGCTGACATTGTTGTCTTTTTCTCATGCTGGTACAGGAAGAGTGGACAGGCGGTCCTGGTGCATTGTAAGATGGGCGTCTCTCGCTCTGCCTCCACAGTAATTGCTTTCCTGATGAAGCAACAGGGCTGGACTTTAGATCAGGCACTCAACCACGTGAGAGAAAGACGGCCTATTGTGCAGCCCAATGAAGGTTTCCTCAAACAGCTGAACACGTACAGCGGCATCCTTAACGCCAGGTGACTTAAGCTCTCATAGATCAACAAGTACTTGTGTAGCGTGTTCAGGTACAGACATGTCAAGTGTGGTTTGTTGTTGTTCAACCATGTGCACACTTTGTTTTTTTTTCCCTCAAGTTTTTAGTTTAGCCATTTTTCCCCAACTTTGTCACAGGAGAACTATGTCGCATAAAACTGGAAATATACAGCTGAAGTCAAAATCATTAACCCTCCTGTGTTTTTATTTTTCAAATACTTCCCAAGTGATGTTTAACAGAGCAAGGAACTTTTCACAGTATGTCTGATATTTTTTTATCTACTGGAGAAAGTCTTATTTGTCTTATTTCAGCTACAATAAAAGCAGTTTTTAATTTTTAAAGTTCAATATTATTAGCATTTTTTCCAGATTTTTTTCTACAGAAACAAAAATCATTGTTCATTATACAATGATTTGCCCTAATTTGCCTAATTAACCTAGTTAAGCCTTTATTGCACTTTAAGCTGACTACTGGTCAGTGTTGCCAGCTTGTAAATATCACAGTATCTAACCAGAACCTCAAAATTATCGTATTTGCAGGAATATTATTATACACGAGTCAAACAGAGAGTATACAGCTATTATCTAGACCAGGGATTCTCAACCACTAGTGGGCCTCCCTGATCCTGCAGGTGGGCAGCAAGATAGTTAAAATTTAAATTTCAGTATTATACTTTAAATTTTAATGAACTGTTTTGACACAATGTGCAAATTACCACAATACATAAAGCCATACCTTAGTGGGAAGGTTCAAACTCCACCTCCAAGTTGCTGTCATTGGATACTTGTGTGTTGCCAGATGTTGAGGGATTAATTTTGTAGTACAATTTGGATTTCTTCATGGACCACGACATAGTGCTGGTTGGCTTGAAAGCAGTGCACCCTGCCAAAATTTTTTTGCACACTTTGGGGTGTGACACCCATTCAGATTATCTGTAATGAGCCGATTTTTGTGGCTTTGTTTTGATGAGATTAACTTTAGAAAAAAACCTGCATTTATATGGGGAGAAACGAGAACTTGAAGGGCAAACTCCCCTGTGCTTCTCACTTCCTTTTCAGCACTAATTTTTTTAACTTTTATTTCTTAATTGATCGATCTCTTCCTGAAAACTACTGATCTAAGCATGACCGCATGCGGCAGGAATGTTAACTCATGAAAGAGCCATTCTCCACATTGACTGGCTGAGAAGATGTAACATAGGATGAGATTGAACACGTGTAACTCCACATTCTCCTCAGAGACAATGACAAAAGATGTAGCTAGATCAATAAGTATAGAAGCCCTAAATTATTTAAAATAATTTTAAATACCATAAAATTCTGAAGTTATCATTCATTAAAGATTTTTTTTAATTATTATTGATCGTACAGAGGTCAAAATTATCGTACAAATGCAATAATTATTGTACATCTGGCAACACTTCTACTAGTATCTTGAAAAATATCTAGTCATACATTATGTACTGTCATCATGGCAAAGAAAACCGTAATCAGTGATTAGAAATTGGTTACTAAAACTATCATTTTTAGAAATGTGTTGAAACATAAGAATTCAGGAGGGCTAATAATTTTGACTTTAATCTGCAAAAAAGCTTTTATTAGTATAGCAAAAAAGAGAAAATATACAGTTAGAGTTTACACTGCATTGTTTGTTTACAGCAAGCAGCGCCACAGTGCCCTCTGGAGGAGGAAGTCCAAAGCAGATGCCCGTCAGCCGTCAGTACACAACGAACAAGCGACAGGGGATGAAAATGAAGAGAAAGAGGAAGAGGAGGAGGAATCACAGAGTCCAGATGAGGAAAGCAGCGAGGAGGACACTGATGTAAGGGAATTTGCCATATAACAAATATTTTATGAAGGTTATCTGCATTTCTTGATGAGTTTATTTATTTCTGTCCTCAGGTGTTTGAACAGATGTGTGAGAATGTTCTGGATACTGGAGAGGCAGAATCCGCCACATCCAACCAGTTTCTTTCTATACAGGAAAGTGATAAGGTTAGCAAAGAGGCTGATATTTCACTACACTTGAACATTATTTAAAAAATATTTTTATAATATAATAAATAATGGTTGTTTTTTAATGATTGCAACACTTGATTATCTAGGTGTCGTCCAGCCCGAGCAGAAGTGGCAGGATGGATTTGTTTTCTCTTATGCAGTCTATTCAGCTTGACGATGAGGATCGAGGGATGGATAAAGAGGTAAGAGGAAAAGTCTGGGTTAGAATGCAAATTGATTGATAAAAGAATTTGAAATGCATAGTCAAACAAATGCAAATTAAGGGCTAAGTCAGGGGCAGGGCCGGCGCGTCCATAGAGGCGACCTAGGCGGCCGTCTAGGGCGTCAGAATAGATTAGGCGGCGCCCGCGACACTACCCTCACCACCCGTGCCCTCAATTATATCCGCGTCCCCAACACTACCCTCACCACCCGCGCCCTCGGTTATATCCGCGTCTAGGGCGGCAGAATAGAGAGGGTTGGGGTTCAGGATGGTCCAGGAGGGCCGGTGTCCTGCTCCAACTTGCTTCAACACACCTTTACAGTATTTAAAAGCTGGAATTTTGTTATTTTTATGAACCATAAAACAAAGCTTATTGTAATTTATTTATATAGATATATATGTGATTTCATATATAAATATATATATATATATATATATATATATATATATATATATATATATATATATATATATGCATGCATATATGAGTACACCCTCAGAAATCTCCTATTTAAATTAATATTTTCTTTAGGATGCTTTATAATATTATATTTGTGCATATACATTAGATAGGTCACGACTGAAGCCAAATCTGGAGCTTATCTAACAAAACAACTCGCACTAACGGTTCAAAAATTAGTAGCCTAAAAGTATCTTTTAGAAAAAAACAATAAATAAAAATGTCAAAAATAATAACAATTTTGTTGAAATGTTGTAGTTTGTAATTCTATTTAGCTATATTTTGCATGAATTTTAATGTATTATTAAATGTGCTTTAATAAATATATCTGTTTAATAAATCTGTTTTGTTCAAATGCACCAATATATATTACCCATGTTCACTGAGAAGTGGATACAAAGATTTATTTTCAAAAGTTATGCTGAGCACTGTGTATTATTAAAGTTAAAGGCAAAATGATGAACCCTCATGTAACAAGATTCATTAATTTTTAAATATTTCCCAAGTGATGTTAAACAAAGCAGATTATTAAATAGAATAGGTTTTAATAACTCATTTCTATAAACATTATTTACTGTCATGGCACAGACAAAAACTATTTCATTGTTTTTGTTAGACATCAAATTTGCTATTGAGAATTATTTTTTAACTTTGAAAATGGTTATTTTGCAAATACTAGTATTCAGGTTAAAGTGCCTTTTTTAATGGCTGAACTCTTGCTCTGTTAAACATCATTTGGTAAATATATACAGTTAAAGTCAGAAATATTAGCCCCCACTGAATTTTTAGCCCCCATATTTATGTTTTCCCCCAATTTCTGTTTAACGGAGAGAAGATTTTTTTTCAACACATTTCTTAAACATAATAGTTTTAATCTAGTTTTAGGCTAAATGTTTTTCAAGACACTTCTATACAGCTTAAAGTGACATTTAAAGGCTTAACTAGGTTAATTAGGTTAACTAGGCAGGTTAGGGTAATTAGGCAAGTTATTTTTTAATGATGGTTTGTTCTGTAGACCATCGAAAAATTTAGCTTAAAGGGGCTAATAATTTTGACATTAAAATGGTGTTTAAAAAATTAAGAATGATTTTATTCTAGCTGAAATAAAACAAATAAGACTTTCTCCAGAAGAATAAATATTATCAGACATACTGAGAAAATTTCCCTGCTCTGTTGATCATCATTTGGGAAATATTGAAAAAAGAAAAAATTTCAAAGGGGGGCTAATAATTCTAACTTCAACTGCATATAAATAATTAAACTAATAGTTTTGCTGTATACAATACACAAGTCGGAAACCCTTTTATGCCAGGCTTTTATCACTGCAATTCTCTTGATTTAGTGAAAATTATTTTTAAGGTATCATGGGGGATGTAGTTTTTTTTTCTGAACAAATGTCACAATAAATTAAAGTAATAATATACTAAGCAGTGTTGGGTACATTCCTTTAAAAAAGTAATTAGTTATAGTTGCTTCTCACAAATAGTAACTGAGTTAGTAACTGAGTTCCATCATTATAAAAGTAACTAATTACTGGGGAAAGCAACTATTGCCTTACTTTAAACACAATTTTAATCTGTCAAATGACTAAAATAAATATAAAACACTGTAGAGTGATATACACTATTTTAATGTTGTTTTGGGACAATGTGAGAGACAACGGCAGCACTATATTTCTAGACATTATTTTGGTTTAGTTCTGTCTGAGTATTAAGTGTTTGCAGTGGAGTTTTATCTGCTTTGACGTCGTGGCTTTGTTTCCTCGTGTAGCCACTAATTTTGTAGCCTCATGACTACGTCATGACTACGACTACTAGGTGCTTCATTAGATTAGAATTATCTGTACGATAAGTTGCACGATAAACATTCTCGTCTTTCACCTGTGTGAGGGGAAAAGTAGTGCTTTATATTTCCAGTTTGCCAATGCTACCTTTTGAACTTGTAGAATTTGCCATCGTTCTGACTCTTGGTCATTGGTGTGTGCCACTGACTGTGTGCGTGAGCTTGTGTGTGAGTGTGACGGAGGCCGGCTAGTGAAGTTCTGTGCAGATACACCTCACTCCTCTAGCATCTGTTGCTAGAGTAACCTTAGAGGTCAGAGGCCATAGTCTTTAGCCTCCTTGGTAGAGCAACGACTCCCATGCGGAAAGTTGCTGGTTCGATCTTAGCTCAGAAGCGTGTTTGGGTGATGTAGGACCGGTGGGGTTACATGAACACCCACACTACTGCTCTATCTAAGCCAATCATCACATTCTCATTCACACTACAGTTACATTCATGTACAACAATAATCATCACTGGTTGGTCATGTTCTGTGTCCCGCCCCAGCCTTAAATATACACACTCACACACAGCCCAGAAAAAGAGAGGTCATACAGTTTGACTCAGAAAGACGCTGCTCGCTGGAAAACCGCTCCAGTGTTCTTAATTATAGTAACGCACATTTATTGTCACGTTAACGTTTACTCATTTCATTACTTGTTACTGAAAAAAGTATCACCTGTTAGTAGGGATGTAACGGTATTGTAAATTTTTTTCGATATTACCGTAGTCTCATGACTCGGTAAAACTATAGGTCTTCTGAGAAAATTTGCTCAGGCGAATGAAGCGAACGGGAGGTACCGGAAACTACAATTCCCATCAGCCCAGGCTTGGCCATAATCCCTTGCGGTCTGTTGTCGCTACAGATCCAGTAATGCGGAAATGGAGTGTGCTGCTAGAAGCGGGGATCAAAAAGAGCTGGAAAACCCTAAAGCGGGTGTTGTCGCCGCGCGCGTACTGAATAGTAGTGTTGTCGCACGAGTTCTTATCAGCTGTGTTGTCGTGCGCGTACTGAATATCTGTGTTGTCGCGCGAGTTCTTATCAGCTGTGTTGTCGCGCGCGTACTGTAAAGCGGGGACGGAGGGTATGTCGCGTCGCGGGGGCACTTTTGATCATTTTGGAAGGGAACTTTCTATCCAAGACTAAAAAGGGCATGTGCACTGCACAGGTTGAGCCCTGTGTGTGCACGTGCCTGCAAGTTGGGGAATACGTCCCCCAATACGATAATAATCAGTCATGGGGACTACAGAAACACAGCACACTGTTCAGATTGATGCAGACATGAGATCTCTATCTCACTCATGGTTTGTCCTCTCAAGTGGGGGAAAGACAATGCACGTTACCCACTGCTGTCAACCTGGGCCAAGTCATATCTCTCTGTCCCAGAAACCTCAGTCCCAAATGAGAGGGTTTTTTTTCTGTTGCAGGGGACATTGTAAATACCCAGAGATACCAGCTTTTACCAGATTATATTTATATGATAATTTTCCTTTAAACCCATCTCTATCTAAGTGAGTGAGTGAGTGATTAAATGTTGAATGTGATGAGTTTTCAACAATACTAAATTGAAACTTAATTTTTTTACATGGTTTAATATTTTTTTGTTATTAAAATTGAAGTTCCTGTTTCAAAGCTTACAGATAGATGGCTAATTTGTATGTCATTGACACTTTTGGCACTTTTTTGGAGTATTTTCATAAGTTTTGTTTTTTCCTGTAAATGATTCAATAAATACCGTACCGTGACATTCATACCGAGGTATTACCGTACCGTGAAATTCTGATACCGTTACATCCCTACCTGTTAGTAACGCTGTTTATTTATAGTGCCGTTATTCCAATCACTGATAATAATAATATATTTAATCATGCATGTGCTTACAGCAGGGTTGTTTTTTAATGTATAGTTATTGTTAAAAATGAAATACCTTATTGAGAAAATGATTTAACTTTGAAAGAAAAATATTTAACTGGATTTAATCAATAACATCTGCCCTCTAAAACAATTTTGGTTGACACATTTATTATCTTTGTCTTTCGGGAATTTTTAATCTTCATTATCATTATTTATTTTTTCACCGAATGCAAAAATCCTTTAACTGAAAGATCTAAACACTTTTAGATGAGCGTCTGTCAGAGACTTTCTCCAGGACAGAGACGGCGGAGTCAGGGAAGAAGAGGTTTGACTTATCAGAGAGCACACGTGGATGCTTCCCCTGAGCCCAGCAGCCGACAGACTCAACACACAAACAATGATGAAGCCGGACTCTGAAACGCTTCAACAGCCTCTTAAAATGATAGAGAAAAGTGAAAAGGTGAGGAAAAGGAACACAAACAGTCATGCTAACACAAATGGACGCTCTTGCACACAAGTCTTATCCTTCTGATTGTATCATTCCACGGTTTTAAAGATTACAAACAAGGTTCTTTATTCATATATTTGCTGTACTGAAGCTCATTTAGGTCATTTCACTTAGAGGTAATGAATATGTCATCCATTTTTCCATCCATCTAGCCTGAAAATCATAATCCGTGGTGATTTTTCAGGTGGATTGTAGTGAGTATTATTGATGCTGTTTTCTTCAGAGCATTATCATTCAAAATTGTGCCTTTTTTAAATCTCCGTATTCTTTGCACCTTCATATATTGAGCCATAATATTCAGTTATTTCACAGGTTTTACTATAGTGTTATAGAGTAAATGGAGTGTTTCGTTAGCTGTATCCATCGTAATGTTATACAGAAACATGACCAGAACAGCTATGGGGGAAATGTTAGGAGACCGCCTGAAAAATTCTCTCATGTTTTTTATGATAAATCATTAGTTCCTTTAGAACAAGTCTAAAACTCAGCCGCAGCTCTGCAGATTTTAGTTCCAGCCACCTCCAACTCACACCTACTTGATAGTTTCTAGTAGTCTTGAACTCTGTGATTAGTTTAGTGTGTTTGATTAGGGTTAGAGCGAAACTGTGCAGAGCTGCGGCCCTCCAGGAATCCAGTTAGAGACCTACATGTATGCTTTAGAACAGGGGTCACCAAACATGTTCCTGGAGGGCCGGTGTCCTGCAGATTTTAGCTCCAACCCTAATCAAGCACCTCTAAACCAGCTAATTTAGCTCTTAGATATACTGAAGTGACTAGAAACTTCCTGGCAGGTGTGTTCAAGCAAGCTGGAGCTAAACTCAGCAGGATACTAGCCCTCCTGGACCGAGTTTGGACAAATTTCAAATAAAAATGTCGTCATATAAAGCTATAAAATTTTCCACACATGCATTTTATATTCATTTTCAGACAACACCATTCCAGTGTTTGAACTTCAGACGTTAAGACAAAAAATGTATTTTCGTACATAGTTTGTGTCTTGTTTCTAGTCCAAATATCTAAAAATTCTTAAATCAAGAAAAGGTTTCTAGGCTAGCAAAACACATTGTCTTGTTTTCAGAAATAATATGCCAATATTAAGTGAGTTTTTCCTTAAAACAAGCAAAATAGTCTGCCAATAAGGTAAGAAAAATAATCAAGTTTTTCCTTTTGACAAACGATTCTTTCGCTTACCCCATTGGCAGATTATTTAGCTTGTTTTTAGAATAATATGCCAATATTTAGTATTTTACCTTAAAACAAGACAATACATTTTGCTTACCTAGAATTTTTTTTCTTGATTTAGAAATTTTTAGAAATTTGGACTAGAAATGACAAAAAAATCCAAGTAAGAAAAGCATTTTTTGCAGTGTATTTGCTGGAATAACCCTGATTCTCAAAAATAAGTGCTGTAAATGACAACATTTGGATAACATTTAATCAAACACTTATAGATTTAAGTTAAATGTTAATATTTGTTTTATTCTATATCTAAATAACCATTAAATCATGAGAAACTGAGTTTTTTTTTTAAGCGGCCTCCTAATTTGCACCATACCTTGTTGTTTTTTATGAATACGAGTGTGTGCGCACTCATTTGAACAGTCCTATGCAATAATCTACTTTTAATAGCTGTTTCTTCTCCATGAATGTGAAGCTTTATGCTGCCTGTGTGGAGATCAGTTTGTGAAAAAAAGTGTTGAGAAAGCAATTGAGGATTGAACATTTTAGTATTCTATATAGCAGGGGTGCCCAGCCTCAGTCTTTGAGGGCCGGTGTCCTGCATATTTTAGTTTCAACCCCAAGCAGCTAATCAAGCTCTTTCTAGGTATACAAAAAACTTCCATGCAGGTGTGTTGAAGGAAGATGGAGCTAAACTATGCAGGAGTTTGAGCACCCCTGCACTTCCATTTAATTCCATTTTGGTGTCAGAAAGATTTTTCTATTTATAAATCAGTGCTGTTTATTCAGAGACGGAGCCATTAAATTGATCAAAAGTGACACTAGAGACATTTATTACTGCTTTTTTAACTTTTCAAGTTCTTCTTAACAATATTATGTAAATAAATACAAATATTTAGTACCAGCATTGGTCATTATGAGAAATGTTTCATTCCGTATTAAAAAAAATCTAATATATTTCTGCTCATTCATTAAGCTGATGATTTTATCCAAAATGAGAACATGTATATAATCTATTATAACTAAAGAATTACACTATACAATTTTTAAATAAACAACTTCAGTAACACTGTAGTTTAGGTCACGATTCTTGTGAGATCCAAAGGTTTGCATTCATATAATTATAACCTGTTTCTAAATGGTTTGGCTCTGAAAGTGAGGGGAGACGTATCCCCACCGTCCTCCCCGTTGCTATGCCCCTGACCAGGTGATTAACTATGAGGTGCTGGAGTTAACAAAAGGCAAGCACACGCAGAAATCCCGAGTATGCGGTAGAGCTCATAATTACACTATTGATCAATCATGTTTACAAACAAAACGCCACATTAAATGGCGCTAATACCATTTTAAACGTCGCTAAACACGGCCTTCTGATTGCAAACGGCGCAAATAACGTGCGTAAATCTTAAAAAAATAAATATATAAATAAAATAAACACAGTTTTTGGTATTGGCGCCATTTTGTTTGTAAAGTTTATTGATTAATAGTGTAATTGTGAGCTCTTTGGCTTGCCATAACTGAGTAGTCTCTCCCACGTACTCTGTCTCTCTCGCGCTTACTCACTCTCTTTGAGTTCGCTTGGGTTTTGTTCACTCCCGTGCCTGATAACTAACAGTATATCAGTAGTTCTGAAGTATGATCTTATTCTACATGCCTAATCATCCTACCCAATACCTAAACCCAATTTCTACTCTACTAATGTTACTAAATATTAAGCTGGTATAGTGTTAGTTAATACCATGAGTTGTGACCAAAAGTGTCAGCAAAGCTTTTTATTATGACCTGTAATAAACATCACATTTTTACTGTGTTTTTAAATAAATAATTGCAGCATTTTAAAAAGTCTTTCTGACTCCACTTTTGAATGGTTAAGTTGCTAGACGGTGATGTTTTTAAAACTTCTGAGCTATTTTCACATCTTTTGCAATTAAGCAGATGTTGTCTAATATGTTTTTAAAATGTACAGTATGTAGGAAACAACCTGAGAAGAAAAAAAAACAAAATCAAACCCTGAGTGTTTTCCTGAAAAAAAGTGCCACGCTTATGTCTGTACTCTTTCGATCATTCTGCATGATGGCTCAGTGCCTTTAGTAGATAGAGGTGGACTGAACGAACTACATTTGTTGTAACTAACTGTTTGTTAAGCTGTTATGGGCTGGTTGATTGGTGTGTGTGTGTGTTTGCATGCTGTTTGTACTGTATGTGAAGCATGTGTCCTCTGTATGTATAAAGTATATACAATCTGCTGTAAAACATTTGTTTATTCTGTCTTCGCACAAAGTGCCAAATGTTGTGAGACCAAAGTTCTGTTGCGGGATGTTTTTAGTTTGGGGCTCCACCAGTTTTGCATTGTTTTTCCACAAGAATGTCTTTTTAAATGATGATTTATTGGTTCTAGATGAGGACACACAGCCTTCAGAGCGCTGATTTGTTTCCCCTCACCGGGTGTATAATGTGCCATGCCTTATCAGCTTCACAAAAAGGTTCTTTCATTTGGTCTGATGTATAACTGCAGTTTTCTTGTTCATTATTGGCATTAAATATGTCAAGGTTGCTGTTGCTTTGTTTTCTATTTATGACTGATCTGAACAGGTATGTTTTTAATTTGATATTCAAGGTTGTGTGTGATATAAGAATTAAAATGAATTTGTTATGGGATGTGGACTTTTTTTTAATTGCTTGTTTGTTTCATAAAGAAGATATTTGTTCTCATTAATATGATTGTGTCTGTGCTCGAAATTTATGAAAAGAAAATTATGGAAATGTATTATGCT